GGGAGGAAATTTAATACCTGCAAAAACATTTGTCGATATAAAATGCAGACGATTATTTTTTGGCTATTCTTTCTTATTAATTTTATATACCGTTAGATGAAAACTATAACTGTATTTATGTATTCTACGTTATATATTTGAAGTTATATTATAATAGGAATTTTAAAAAAGAATCTACGTTACTTCATCGCATTTCTCAACTTTTTGTTTTATGGAGTTAATCAATGTGTGCACTGAGCGGCTCAATTAAGAATAAAAGACATTTGCCTTTAATTTTGACCGCCCAAATGCGAGGGCACCTTTCGGACTTCCACCAGGAACGGTCCCGGAGGAAACCATTATTTTTAATTTTGCCGTTTATATATACGCCATGATCTTTAAAGTGTCGAAGGCCCTCACCTGGAGCTGTAATTAATCCATTACCGAGCCAAGAACGACCGAATTTGTAGAAGTCGCCCTTTTCGAGGGTTTTCGAGCTCAGGAATACGGCCTGTGAACACAGAGTCATAAGTGTTTTACATTAAAATGTGTTATTTTTTTATATTATATATTAGATTTATTGTTTTAATTNAAGATAAATATTTTGTGCTACTAGGGACCCTGATGAGATACATGCCTTTTTGTAAACGGACAGATGTCCTGTGGGAGATTAAATCAAATCATGATCAATTTGTTTGAAAACCCCTATTTTCCATCTTGGCAAAGTTAACAAAAACAGTTAATACTTGACATGTATGTGACACGTTATGCAATAATCTCCATAATCCGTGCACCTCTCGTGAAACCATCTTCTACAAAAAATGACCTGAATCCAATCAACAGTTGATGTACTTTTAGTGTACAGTTTTTTACATTCACAGCACATAGTGTTATCATCCTCTTCTATAGTGCCTGAATCAGATGAAATAGTATTAGATTGCAAAATTTTCCGTTTTACTTTCTTCCTATCACTCGTGGTTTGGCATTTCCAATTTTTCTTCTTCTTCTTTCTTTCTCTTTAGCTTTTCTCAAAATCTCCGATTGTTCATCTCTCTTTTTCTTTATTTCTGCATAAGCGTTTAAAATATTAACTGATCGTTTCTGACGTCCATATTTTGTTTTAGTCACAATAGGAATTTTAAATACAGTCGATAAGTATTTCGAGGAGTACTATCTTGGCTTGTTTTGGAATATACGTAAATTAATCGTCTAAATTAGGTCTATAGGTATAGCAAATGTCGATAGCAAGTATTTTAATAAAAATGACAACCATTTTCTTCCAGTAAATTAATTTGACCCCTCTTATACCATCTACAGTTGAATGACGCGTTGTTTTGCGAGATACGCAAATACTATAATATTACTTTATGTGCCCTTGAAGGCTTTGGTCGCTTCAAAACGGCACGCCATTTTGTAGGATATCAGTTATCCAGTTAGTATATAGATCAGTGCCGTATCGGCAACAAATAGATCACAAGCTCATCTGTATGGTGATTCTTCAAGCTATTTACTGTGCTTGTTCAGCTATCCTGCAACTACGCGTTATTACCCGCAATCAATTTCAAACGACAACAGAGGGCGCCACGAGCGTTCTTCTATTACCTTCAAATACGGCCTGGCGTCGGTAAATGTAGGTAAGCCGCCACCACCACGTAAAGTTCGAAAATTCTCGGTAACATTAAATTGGAGAAGGTAACTATGAAACATACCGTAAGTTACCGGGAACATTGAGAATTTAAGAGAACGTTAATTTTGTTATTTATACTTTAGGTTTCTTCGTTTAAATAACTTTTTTTTTTCAATCAACTTTAAAGTTCAAGCTATAGAGTAATAATTACTATTAGNATTACATGTGGTTTTTTCACCGAATTGACGTCTCAATCGAAACACGGTATCGGTTAAAAATTTCGCTCAATATTCCACGTTCGATTACAAATTAATTTTAGCGACCTACAATATTATTGCTATTAATTGTTAATTATTTTGCACGTTAGGTTTTCCACTTCGCTTGAATCAAATAAGGCGCGGATGGATTTGTGAAATTTAAGCGAGTCAATCGTGACATTTTCATCGGATTTATTGAAATTAATTATGTTTTTATTAATATGCGTTGAGACTGTTTATTTAGACATTACATGTGGTTTTTTCACCGAATTGACGTCTCAATCGAAACATGATATCAGTTAAAAATTTCACTCAATGTTCCACGTTCAATTACAAATTAATTTTAGCGACCTACAATATTATTGCTATTAATCGTTAATCATTTTGCACGTTAGGTTTTCCACTTCGCTTGAATTAAATAAAGCGAAGATGAATTTGTGAAATTTAATAGGGTCAATCGTGACATTTTCATCGGATTTATTGAAATTAATTAGTCCGTTCGGGAATTAATTTTAGGGTTAATGAATAATAATCGATAGTAAAATCCAACCTGCCGTACTTCCCATAAAAGAAAGACCATTTCCTACGATGGGATATGCCATCGGTCCAGGAAACTTCGCCGCAGCTCTATACAAATGAAGTCTTCTCCAATGGTACAGAAAAATTGTGATCAGCCCACAAAAAACTCCAGTTGTCATTAATGCGATCGTTAGGAGTGCCATTATGTCTTGACATGTACATAAAAACGATGCGTTAGAACATTTAACTTAATAATATACAGTAAATAACATAGGAGAACAATCATTATTCATTTTGTCTTCCTCTTGCAATAGGGAAGAACGAGAATTTATCGTTAAATGAAAATAAAAAAATATGTGAAAAAGGATTTATATTTAACTATGCAAATGTTTCTGATGGTTTTACTGAAAATATTAAGGTACTATATTGTCATGAACGGGAGCAGGTTAATTTATCCTGGAATAAAATACACGCCCTAGTAGCATAGAATAATTTTAAATATTTCTTTGTAATCTTTGTTAAATATCATAAGCGACAGATTTTTTAAGATTTCTTGTAGATTTTATTCGAAGATATCTGAAATATTTCTTGAAACTTTCANCTAGGGATATAACTTTGAATATAATAATCTTACCGATATCAAGGTCTTCTGTTACTTTCCTCACGAGAAAGGGCAGGACTGGAAAAAGTCTCATAGTCTCTTTAATAACACGTTCAAGATATTCCATTCGCTGTAGATCCTCTTCTTTAAGAAGTACATTCTCTATATTAGTAGGTCCATAGATGTTTAGTTGTTCTTGATAAACTTTTTCCTAAATTAATACATAAAAATAAAGTTTCAGCGATTAAAAAGTCATCGCCGATACCAAAGGGGAGACCGGGCCAAGTTGTCCTCCGGAGTAAATTGACCAATGTTTAACACACTTTTTATTTTTTTTTAAAAACTACTTTCCTCGAAACTATTTTCCATATTTTCCCATCTAACTCCGTGATATTCTTTTTCTACGGTATTCTAAATTGTTCGAGCTAGGTCCTAAAACTCTTCATTTTCGATTCTAAGCCTCCAAAAAGCGTAAAATATCAAAAACGTGCACGGACCACGCCATGTTGGACCTAGTCCATAATTAATAAATAAATTTTATGTGAAAAATGAAATTTCGTGAGTTTCAGAACCTACTTTAGCGCCACCATATTCACGTGGCGAAATTTGAAACGAATCGGCAAATCCAATTCGGAGACTACTTTCCCCAACGATCTTACTTATAAGATATATATAGGCTGACTTTTTCATATCACCTTAAACATTACCGAAAAAAATTGGTCATTTTTCCCCGATCTCCCCTACTTGAATATTTCCAATAGTTATTTTTTAAATATTTTTACTCACCTGGATGTCAGGGAAACTAGCCAACATTAACATAACGAAACTACTGACGTTCGCATTCGTGTCATTGCCCTTAAATAAAATACATTTGGTTAACTTATTAGAACATGTATCCTTTCGTAATGTTAACTTATTATTTAGGCTTTTATTGCCTGAACTATTTACAGCTATTATTAATGTATTGACTTGATCGCGAAGTTCTTCGTCTTTAAACTTCGTTCCATCCTGTGTTAGTTCCATTAAAAGATCGAGAAAAATCTTTTTACGCGGTCCATCCTCTAAAAATAAAAAATGGAGTTGTTTATGCTTTGTTTAGAATTATTATTCCCTTCATAAGACTTACGGGTATTTTCCTTACCATTCTTTTGGCTTTCTTCGTTTTTAGTTAACGCAGCTTTCTTTTTACGAATCACCTAGTACAAAATATGTGATTTTATACGGTTTATACAATGTATACTTATTTTATTAAGCTCATGGCATTAAGGTGATATGAAAGTGTGATATATACGTACCAAAAAATTCAAATATTTATAAAACTTTTCTCCAAACTGGGTACACCGAATTATCTGAAACTTTAACCTGTGGTTATGGAGGCCCTAAGGAACAACGCGCTGTTCATAAGATTTATTTTTTCGAAAAAAATGTACTCATCTTGGGCAAGAACCAAAAAAAATCATTTTTTTTCGAAAAGTGAACTTTTACGATCGTCGCGTTCTTCCGAATCATTTGAAACATTATCACGAGATTATGGAGGCCCTAAGAATGAACGCGATGCTCATGAAATTTCATTTTTCGAAAAAAATGTTTTACTTATATTGGACCAGAACCAAGAAAGCATTTTTAATCAAAAAATGAAATTTCACGAGATTATGGAGGACCTAAGGATGAACGCGATGCTCATGAAATTTCATTTTTCGAAAAAGACATTTGCATTTATCTTGGAAAAGATCCAAAAAACATTATTATTCAAAAAATGAAATTTCCCGCGATTATGGAGGACCTAAGGATGAACGCGATGCTCATGAAATTTCATTTTTCGAAAAAAATATTAGCACTTATCTTGGACAAGAACAAAAAAATATATTTTTTTTCGAAAAATGAAATCTCATGAACAGTGCGTTCTTCCTTAGCGCCTCCACAATCACGTGTTCAAGTTTCAGATAATTCGGTGCACCCAGTTTGGAAAAAAGTTTTATAAACATTTTAACGTTTTGGTACGTATATATAACACTTTCATATCCCCTTAAATAAGGAAAACATCAGACTGGGTAAAAATGACTAATTACTCTAAAGAAAATTTCGGTTATTTGTAGGCTAATCTACACTTAAAAAAGGGCATTGCGTACTTACATTATTAATTACGTCGTGCAAGTACTTTATACATTGGTTTTGCTCTTTTGCCAATTGTGAGTATTTGAAAATAATATCAGGGTGTAACCAGAATGTCACTGCTCTTATCGCTAACAGCTCCAGCAATCTAAAAAATAGAAATTATACGTCATAGCAATCACGTCATTGATTAGCATTGATGGTAATAGTCTAATATGAGGATTCTTAAACAAATTATAATGTATGTTATTAAACCTATTAGCCGCGTCCGGGAAATTGCAGTCAGCATTAGTTTGAGCGTTCAATGACACCCCCATCGCAGTTTCTGTAAAATATGCATTAAATGTTATGAAAATAATTTAACGTTAAGGTGAAGTGAAACCCCCATCGCAGTTTCTGTAAAATATGCATAAATGTTATGAAAATAATTTAACGTTAAGGTGAAGTGGAACCCCTCCTCAAATCAGTCGATTTGAATAAGACACTTTTTTTTTAAGGAAAAGTGAAATCGTCGAGTAAGTCTATCAACGTCGGTAAAGAAGATTTTTCTAACCACTTACGTTGCCGACATTCGCTTTTATTTTGACAGTTGTGTCGAATTATATTGGGTATTGTACTAAATCGCATAATCAATATATCGTTATCGTACAATAATTATAAAGAAATCGACGTAAAACTCCAGAAATCCCCTGAGTTCATGGTTTCTGAGGCCTTAATTGATTTCAGAGGGACACTCTGCGCCATCTGTGATTTCCATGTGAACTAAATTTTCCCCCCTAGACCTCGTATTACCATCGTTTTAGCATAGAAGCACATAAGACGCTTTTTTGCCTTTATCCCGTTCAAATGTGAGTTTCTCGATTACCAGAGTGTTCTAAATTGTCGTACAATTGTTCTGACACATTTGTTTCTCATATTAAAGCCTTCAATAATTGTATATTGATCGAAATATGAGAGCCCGACGCCATTTTAGTTCTAACCTGGACTAAGTTAAGCAATTTTTTTCAAAAATCCAAATTTGAAAGTGTCAGGATAATTCCTAGGTGCTCACGAGACATGTACCGACATTTTAGACAGTTTGATCTAATACCCTTAAAAAAAAGTGTCTTAATCGAGTCGACTGATTTGAAGGGAGTTTCACATCACCTTAAGGATATTGAAATGTCCTGACACTTTTAAAATTCGAAATTTCGAACAAAAGTGGTTGGCTTAGCCTAGACCAGATCCAAAATGAGGTCGGGCTCTCACATTTCGATTAATATACAATTATTAAAGGCTTTAATATATAAAACGAAAGTGTCAGGATAATTGTACAACAATGGAGAACGCTCTAGTAATCGATAAACTCGCATTTGAACGGAATAAAGGCAAAAAAAGTGTCGTAAGCGTTTTTGTGCTAAACCAGGTCCCGGAGATAAAATTTAGTTGGCACTGAAATCACAGATGGCGCAGGGTGGCACTCTGCAGTCAATTAGGGCATCAAGAACCACGAATGCAGGGGATTTATGGAGCTTTCCTTCGATTTTTTTATAATTATTGTACAGAAGCGACATGTAGAGTATACCATTTAATACAATACCCAATTTAATTCGACATGGCTGTGAATATAAATACCAACGTCGGCAACGTAGGTATTTAGAAGAATTTCTTTTACCGACGACGATCAAATTTCTCAACGTGTTTCACTTCACCTTAAGAAATGTATGTTACACCTAATGATTATTTCTAATCATTTGCACGATATCTACAGTGTAAAGAGATAATAAAAAATATTTAAAAGCTAGTTTTAGGGAAGTAATAAATAATGGAAGGGGTTTTATAGCATCACTCACCACATATAATATCTAAAGTGCAAAGTGATACGTATTTAAATACATCGAATTCCTTGCCCTCCACTTCCACTTCCATCTGCCGTACCAATACCATTGATTGTTTTGCATAAATGTCGATGAAGGATTCCAATATTTTTTTATGGAACGTTGGAGCAATCAGCTTTCGGTCAGAACGCCATTTGGAAACTGAGGATAAATATTTTTATACATAACTTTTTGTTTATAGTCGGCGAAGTCATTAAGGTGAATTGGTTAAAATTTTAGCACATGACTCATAAGCATCTAAGGATTATCGTGACACTTTCGAAGTTTGGATTTTTTAACATTTTTGTACTTAGCCAAGAGTGTACAACAAAAATGGCATCCTCCAGGAAATTAATTTGACACCTCTTATACTATTTATAGTTGAACGATCATCGTTTTGACGCATGCGTCAGAATTAAAAAATTAATTGAAATGCCCATAACGATAGGATTGTGGTCACTTTAAAACGTCACGCCATTTTGTAAGATATCAGCTATCCAGTTAGTATATATATATATATATCAGTGATTTTATATGAACTAACACATATTATACCGAGACGCTGTGATTCGTTGCAATAATGTGCGCGGGCCATTACGCCTTCTAATTGAGTCGCTCAGTGCACACATCGATTAACTCCACTTTTTGAAAAATCTTAAATTTAGGTGTCAAAGCACTTGGTATAGTCATAACTTTTTATATTTATAATGTCTTTCCTGATTAATAGAGATTAACACCATTAAACGGCAANGAGAAATATTTTGGGCTACAAGGGTATCCTTTAAAATAGTTTCCAATTTAAATTGACCGGTTTGAGAGGGGTTTCATTGAAATTGAAATCAATTGTTTATACTACATTTAGTTGTTCTTCGTTTCAGTATACATTTCCAAAATCCTTCCTTCGGACGCAGACAACAGACCCGGAATGAATGTATTGCGCCGGTGTTATCACAAAGTCACAATGAATACTCGAACCCCCTCTCCGAATTACCACCGAGGGTAAGTAACGAAATTCAATTTTACCAAGTGAAATGACAGATTAATATTAATATAATTTTTGCATTTTTAAACTTGACAACCCTTTAAACAATACCATACTTTTGGTACAATGAACCCAGGCACCGCGCAATGTGGAATATCCGTAAATTAATCGTATATAAACGTTCATTGAACGTATGTTAGATATATATAGATATCTATGAACTCTATTTTAGAAACAATCAAAGGCTATATGTCCGGATACGATATGTAAATGTTATATTACATGAGGTGTCGTTTTATTTTTCTAAACGTATTTTCAACAATGTTGATTAACCTTTGGTAGACGTCTGCTAGAGCTACTATATATTTTGTATGCGTCAAGAAATAAATAGATATTTGTAGATCAATAGTGGATATATAATTTTCATCTAGAATAGACGTACATATTTATATGTATCCTTTAGATATTTATGATATATATTCTATGGTCATATACATAAAATAGATCCATATACTTACAAAAGATATTTTTTTAGGTGGATGATAGACGATATACATTTGCTATACCTATAGACCTAATTTAGACGATTAATTTACGTATATTCCACTTCATGGGTTGACTGAGAATGTACACTATACATTCTAATGCGTTTACAATATTTATAACAGTCGTCAAGTAAAACATGTTTTTAAGCAAAACGAAATTTTAATAATAAAAACGAATTTGTTTTAGATACTTACACAAGGACTTGGACAGAAGAAAGTGATAGAAGTTGAAAATTCTGATCATTCCGAAAGCGAAATGGAGGACACAGATCACTCGCACAAAACACATTTGATATGTTAATAATAAAAAAAATAAATCCATTAGTAATCAGTATTTATTGTTGCCGGAGTATATGTAATACCGGAATGGGAACATTTTATATAAATTCAGTTCGTTGCGAAACTTACGGCAAGTGTGATATTTATTCACATTATTTATAATAAGTAAAAACCACATTGCACGTGATAATCAGATAAATGTTTATTGTATCACGCAGGGTGGAGAATTGAAAACATAAATTTATTATCGTGTGAGAAACCAGATAAAAGAATTTATATCATATTTTAACATGTACAATGTCTTATGTATACAATCATCAGGTTAAGGTATTATACTTGTACATTATTATATTATACATACAAGTATACTTGTGCGTTAAATATTTATCATGTCGGGATATTTGTACACGTGAAAAGTATTAGTCTCGAAGAACATTAACGTCCTCCATTGAATTTATTTGTTGTGTACAGTTAGTCCTTTTCATGTGATATTGTTATTATTATTATTACTGTTATTATTATATAATATATTTGTACACTTAATGTACTTTTGTACTATGTGAATTGCGAAACACTTTCTATATGTAATGTGCGTATTTTGTGTATATACCTGCGCACTACTCTACACGCATGTCGAATTGTAATCATAAACAAATAATTATATTTTTATATCATATTACATTCGAAGAAGTCGCACCACCAAACCTAATTACGCTTCACATGTCTACATGTACATGAACCCTGAACATGTTACCTTATTTAGAAAATTGTATGCAGATAGATATCTGCATACAATTTTTTGGTGAACCGAACTATCACAGAATTATTAATAAAGGCTTCTATATTTTCCAGAAAATCATACAAATCGATTTAACGGCGATTTACATAAGTGTTATGTACACATTTGTTATGTAACATGCTATATTAATGTTATAAATTCAGTTACCTTAAAATATTAATTTTTCCAGCATTTAATAAAAAATAATGCAATTTTATAAACAATTATGAAATTTTTTATTTTATATTATTTTGTGGCACTTGGCAATAGTTAGGTATTATATAATAAATCAGACTTTAAATGAAATTATGTGAATGATAAACTATCTGATTTTATTTAAAGACTATAATTTCATTCGGCTAGCAAACAATTACTGATAATGTGTATGCCAATTAAAATCACATATTATTCATACGAGTAGTAAACAAAATATGATATATAATAATCTTATGACATTTGACGATGAATTATGACAATGACGATGACGATGATGCAGTAAAATGAATGACAGCACCAATATAGTTCTCTTTTGATATTCGAAATATTCGTTGAAAATCTCAATAACATATTTAGTTCCAATAATTTAGAANATACCACGTCTCTCACACGTTTTGTTCACGTTCGACCCAATTAACATACCATTTCTCTCACACGTTTTGTTCACGTTTGGCCCGATTGATATACCACGTCTCTCACACGATATTGTAGATGAAGAAGTTAGATCTAATCCAAACCCCTTCGTGAAAAAAAATGCACAAATGTTAATTACGGTTTAAAAAAATGCATTACAATTTCTACACGAGGAAATAAATTCTGTAAAGGACCGCCAATGGAGATTATCACGGCCACGAAAGAGGATATTAGGAAGATACCGACAAGTCTGAGTTCGATCCGGGTTTTATATCTAGAACCCAATGTTGGCATCACCGGACTTGATGTAAATACGCAGCTTAATAGCGTTTACTGGAGCAATGGTTAGTCATGTTTATTGTTACATCCGTAAGAGGAATCTTGTTAGTAGTTAGAGTATACAGTCATCATTTACGAGACCTGGTACCTTCCCGGGATATTTTTCACTTTCTACGCGTTCTCACGGTATACATATGGTCGCTAAATGTTTTTTACTTTCATGCGAAAGAACCGAACATCCCCGAAATTTTCGATGAATAGGACCATAAAAAATACCCTTAGACGGTACGTGATTTTACTAACAAGGAAGGTATCCCAGGTCGATCTCTCCCATTTGATTTCTTTTATAATATGTCATAGTAGACCAAAAACTAAGCGACACGTATTTTTTTTTATCTGCAATTAAACATTTTAAGGGGGTGAAACCACCATCCAAAGTAAGGCATGTCAAGGGGCGATTTGGCAGTTTCACCCACAAGAACATAATATTTTATAACCAATCCACCTTGAAAGGCTTTCTCATAACGAAAGATAAAAAATACAATTTTCTCAATTAAAAAAAAAATTAAGGGGTGAGCGTTCGGGGGTAGTTACCCCAGTCAATATTTTTTTTCGGGAAAATCCAAAGACACGTCATATTTCCTTCGTGTTCATACACAACATATATTTTTTTATAGATTTTTAGACTTGAATTTGACCATTTTTTGTATAAACGTAATCATATTTAGGGGTGGCTCACCCCTTAATTTTTTTTCTTTTAATTCTGAAAATTATATTTTTCATTTCGCGTTATGAGAAAGCTTTTCCAGGTGGATTGGTTAAAATATATTATGTTCTTGTGGGTGAAACTGCCAAATCGCCCCTTGACATGATCTCGGTGCCTTAACAATACATAAAAGTTACAAATTATTGGCCTTTCGAGGGGAGTAATTTATTAACTGGTCATTTTTCATTAACGAAATTGTTTTTCCGATAGAATTGTTGGGGACAATTAGCAAGCTCACGATAAATACCCGCGACAGACAAGTAGCGATGAATGTTGGAAAGCCAGAAGTTCTTGCAGTTGATTGGGTCACTGATAACGTGTACTTCTATGACAGTATGCACCCACACTCTCTTAAGGTAAGGAGAATATTAAGGTGATATGAAAGTATTTTATATACATACTAAAAAGTCCAAATATTAATAAAACTTTTCTCCAAACTGGGTGCACCAAATTATCTATAACTTTAACACGTGATTATGGAGTCGATAAGAAGAACGCGCTGCCCATGAAATGTGATTTTTCGAAAAAAAAATCTTCTTTTGGTTCTTTTCCGAGATAAGTACAACATTTTTTTTCGATAAAGAAATTTCATGACCAGCGCGTTATTCCTTAGTGCTTTCATAATCACATGTTAAGTTTCAGATAATTCGGTGCACCCAGTTTGGAGAAAACTCTAGTAGCACAAAATATTTCTCCTATATTTTCTATATATTTAACGAATGCAATAACATTTTGTAAATATTTAGCAGACATTTNTACGTAAATTATATGTCAATTACTAAAAGATATAAAAACAATTGTAATAATGGTTTAACGAACGTATGAACCTAGGCAATTTCTGGGCCCATCACTAAATGAAGCGTAGCAATATGGTATGACCTTAAATACTAATATTTACGTAAATTATATGGAAATTACAGGAAGATATAAAAACAATTGTAATAATGGTTTAACAAACGTATGTACCTAGGCAATTTCTGGGCCCATCACTAAATGGAGCGTAGCAATAAGGTATGGCTTTAAGTATTAATATTTACGTAAATTATATGTCAATTATAGGAAGATATAAAAACAATTGTAATAATGGTTTAACAAACGTATGTACCTAGGCAATTTCTGGGCCCAGCACTAAATGGAGCGTAGCAATAAGGATGTCGTTTGGCGACTTCTTCCGGCGAAAATCGATCTGGATCAAATTTTTCGGGACTTGGCCAGTATTCCTCCATTCGATGTAACTTGATAATTTCGACCATTACTGTACTTCCTTTTGGCAAAGTGTAACTGCCTAAAAAATGCAAGACACGTAGTTAGGGTGAAGTGAAACACGTCGAGAAACTTGATCGACGTCGGTAAAAAAAGTGTTTTTAAATACCTACGTTGCCGACGTTCGTTTTTATATCCGCATTGGTATCGAATTATATTGAGTATTGTACTAAATAACTTCGTCTATCATTTTCGTATAATAATTATAATGAAATTGAAGTAAAACTCCAGAAATACTCTGGATTCATGGTTTCTGAGGCCCTAATTGACTGCAGAGGGACCCCCTGCGCCATCTGTGATTTCCGTGCCAACTAAATTTTCACTCCGAGGTTTCGCATTACCATTGTGTTAGAAAAAAAAACATAAGACCTTTTTTGCCTTTATCCCGTTCAAATACGAGTTTTTTGATTGGCAGAGGGTTCTAAATTATTGTAAAATTGTACTGTCACTTTTGTTTCTCATATTAGAGCCTTCAATAATTGTATATCGATCAAAATATGACAGCTTGGCGTCATTTTGGTTTTGGTCTGGGCTAAGTTAAACAATTTCTTTCAAAAATCCAAATTTTAAAAACGTCAGGATAATTTCTAGGTGCGCACGAGTCATCCCTAGTAGCACAAAATATTTTTCCTATATTTTCTATATATTTAACGAATATCGTATATTTTGGAAATATTTACCAGACATTTGAAATATTTGCCAAANTATTCTATACTACTAGGGAAGATTTATAAATATTTTGACTTTTTGTTATGTATATATCACACTTTCATATCACTTTAAGGTCTTTATTTCAGGGTCTCAGAGTTGACTTTTTACCAGATTGGCCTACTATTGACATTGTATACTTTTTTTAAACAGATATGCCACCTAGAGGAACAAAAATGCGCAAAAGTAGTTGCGGTCGAGGGTTCTGCTAAAGTAATGTCTATCACTCTGGATCCAAAACACGGGTAAGATTTTCCAATTTCTACAGGTAACAAAACATTTACTTTCACTTCGCGTTAATTAATAATTATTTTAAATTGATAAAACTAGATCGCATATGGAGAACAAGAAATAGTGTATTTTTATTTCCACCATTGCTATTTTTGGGATTCATTTATTTTTTCTGCTATTCACTCGGTGTTGCGTTTAATTAATTGTATTTCTCATGTTGTTAATGATTTTTGGCAAAATTCAGGTGGCTTTTTTGGAGTCAAACAAATTGGCGAGCGCTAAACGATCCGTCGAGCGAGATTTATAGGAGCGATATGGCAGGATCTAATTTAAAACCGATTGTTGATAAGAACATTGGTGTCATCAGTGGAATGACTGTAGACCATCAACGATCGCGATTGTATTGGGCGGATGCTCATCTCAATGTCATCGAAAGAGCAGACCTCGATGGGGCGAATCGTGAAATTTTTCTCAAGTCCCAAGTACGTACATTAAACAATTAACTACTACATGCGGTTCTAGATTGTAAACCAATGTTTTGATAACAACTCGTCGAATGAATTGTCGTAAGTTCATTAGTGACTATTTCCAATATACCTAAGCTTTCTGACAAGATTAATTTATCATTGTTGCTCAACGACAATGCATAGAATTGTTTGAAAGTCGTGTCTCATTGTTGCTCAAGGATAATGCATACAATTGTTTAAAACGTTTACAAATGCAAACTCAGGCTGTAGGTATCACTTTTTTTCAAAGCATTTTTTCTTAGATTAAGAACAAATGGTCTACCTAGTTAAATTATTGTCGTGTTAAGCTTTCAAATATTTCTCAACTCTGAATAATATTGAAATATTTAGGTATAGATATGTCCACGTGGTATTTAAAACTATTTCGAACATCTTCGACGAGTGAATTAAAATTAATTTAATAAAAATTCGATGCATTTCTAAAAATTAATAATTTGCATTTGATGTCTCAGGTCCATCATCCGATCGGTATTAATCTATATGAAGATTCGCTTTATTGGCTCGTCAGTAATTCCGGAAGATTAAAAACATGTTCGCTGCATGGAATGAAAATTTGCCAAACCGTTCAAATAGGATCAACGAATATTGATCAATTCTTTACCCTTCTGCAGACATCGAGACAACCGTCCAGTAAGTTGACAAACATATTCAAGAAAGATAATTATACATTTTTCGAATTTCATATATTCTTCCCAGTAGCATAGAATAATTATTAAATATTTGTTTGTAATCTTTGCTAAATATCTCAAGCGACAGATTTTTTAAGATTTCTTGTAGATTTCATTCCAAGATATTTAAAATATTTGTTGAAAATCTCAATGACAATAAACGTAATCATATTTAGGGGTGGCTCACCCCTTAATTTTTTTTCTTTTAATTCTGAAAATTATATTTTTCATTTCGCGTTATGAGAAAGCTTTTCCNTTAATATAGAAAAGCAACGGGAAAATTATCGATATGCTTGAGGATCACTTTCCAATTTCCTTAAAAAATGAATCTTGCCTTTTCTTTGAAAAGGACACAAAAAATTAATATAGAAAAGTAATGGGAAAATTATCGATAAGCTTGAGGATCACTTTCCAATTTCCTTAAAAAATGAATGTTGCCTTTTTCTCTGAAAAGAACGCAAAAAATTAATATACTAAAGCAATGGGAAAATTATCGATAAGCTTGAGGATCACTTTCCAATTTTCTGAAAAAATGAATCTTGCCTTCTTCTCTGAAAAGAACGCAACAAATTAATATAGAAAAGCAACGGGAAAATTATCGATAAGCTTGAGGATCACTTTCCAATTTCCTTAAAAAATTAATGTGGCCTTTTTCTCTGAAAAGAAAGCAAAAAATTAATATAGAAAAGCAACGGGAAAATTATCGATATGCTTGAGGATCACTTTCCAATTTCCTTAAAAAATGAATCGTGCCGTTTTTTCTGAGAAGTTTTTTTTCCTACTCATGAGTAAATTGAAACTGAATTTTTTCTACAGATCGATTGTCCAGACGAGTCGGACGAGCCTGAATCTTGCCGAATGGGAACATGTTCTCCCGAAATGTTTACTTGCAACAATGGAAGGTGCATCGATCGTACCTTGATTTGCAATGCTATTAACGATTGTTTGGACGGTACGGACGAACGAGCTTGTCCAGGGTTCGTCTCCACGGATGTTGTACATTGCCACAGAAATGAGTTTAAGTGCGAAGGCACTGATACTTGCCTACCGATAAGCAGAAGGTAAGTGAACAAATCATGAACAAGTCAACAAATGACATCGCCTGTGCAGGATGGGAGGGCATTGATGTCAGTCATTGATGTCTCTTCCGCTATTTCATTATGGGAGCAAAACGTATAATTTTGATATTAAATATTTTNTTATAAATTATTGAAACTAAATATGTCATTGAGATTTTTAACAAATATTTCAAATATCTTCGAATGAAATCTATGAGAAATCTTAAAAAATCTGTCGCTTGAGATATTTAGAAAAGATTACAAAGAAATATCTAGTAATTGTTCTATGCAATATAATCTGAGCAAGAGTTCATAAACCCGGAACGAATTCGAATTTCGCTTTGAAATTTCGGCAACGTATTCCTGAATAGTTATACTAACAATTTAAATAGTAAAAATAAGCCGATTTTCTAAACATCCTAATGTGGTTTCTCCCCTTGAAAAATTTGTTACATTTTCCAAAACGTAATGTTACACGTTACAGTTGCGAACAAATGCCATCAGCACAAATGCGACAACATTTGCGTACCGAGGGATGACAATTCGGTCTGCATTTGCCAAAATGGACACATACTAAAGGAGAATGCTACGTGTACAGAGAGTCTGATTACGGCAATCAACTTCGTTTCCACGAAGCAGGAATTGAAGTCGCAGAACATTCGACAAGTGAGCGGCATGTTCACCGGAATCATCGTCACGGCTACTATGGGGATCATTATGCTAACTATCTACTATTACTACGTTAAGAAGAAGTTCAGTATGCTAGGCAAGCGCAATGTCAGGTAATTTCGTTATTATATCTTCCCTACTTCACATTTGAACAAAAATACCGCGCCATATTGAAAACAAACAACTCTCGGTTCTTCATTATTTGTTAATGTTAACCCTCTATGGGCCCGTGTAACTTCAGGTCGCATTTTAAATGAAAATTTTTTTTTCATTTGCATATATAGGTTCCTAATTGCTGATTTTTCGTTCCCCCAATTTTTTTTTATTTAAAAAAAAATTCGGCCCATAGAGGGTTAAGGTGAAGTGAAACACCCCTCGAATCAGTCGACTCGAATAAAACACTTCTTTTTAAGGGGATGTGAAAGTGGCATCCGAAAGCTCAATCGATCATAAAACTTTTCAACGAACTGGGTGTCTTAAATCGTTTCATACTTTAAAACATGAATATGGAGATCCTAAATTAAGTCCTGGAACTCGCGAAATTTCATTTTTTACAAGCTATTTTTTAAATACCTATAAACAAATTAGAAAACAATTGAAATTTCATGAGTTTCAGGACCTTTCTTATAGTCTCCCTATTCACGTTGTAAAGTTTTAAACTATTCTGTAAACCCAGTTGAGAGAAAAGTTTGATAAACAAAACCTCTTCGACGCCACTTTCCCCTTAAGGGTACTTATTAACATAATAATAATAATAATAAGTAAATAATGATTAATTCGTGAAATTTTTCTCAAGTCCCAAGTACGTACATTAAACAATTAACTACTACATGCGGTTCTAGATTGTAAACCAATGTTTTGATAACAACTCGTCNACGACAAATTTTTGCAATATTTTCATTCCGCTATTTCATTATGGGAGCGGAACGTGTGATTTTTATTTTAAATACTTTTAAAACGTTTATAATGTATCGGGCAAATTATATTGAAAAAATAATTATATTAAAATGAAGCAAAATATTGTTGAACATTTGTAAGAAAAATATTACAGAGAACACGCGGAGCTAATATTATACAAATAATATTCTAAAATAAATGTTTTGCAAATATTTCAAATGTTTGCTAAATATTTACAATTTGTACGATATTGGTTGAATATGTAGAAAATATAAGACAAATATCTTGTGCTACTAGGGTAAGTGTTCACATTTGAACTTATTGCTTCTTGTTCCAGAATCCTCGTGTACTGCAATTAACCCTTGCCCAAGTATTTGTCAAAAGACACCTTCTGGACCAATTTGTACTTGCGAAGAAGGTTACCGTCTGGAACCTGACGGAGTTTCTTGCAAGGACATCAACGAGTGCGAGGAGGATGCCTGCCCACAAATTTGCCGAAACAAAATTGGTTCTTTCAGTTGCTCCTGTTACGAAGGATATGTTCTACGCGAGGACGAGATCTCTTGCAAGGTTGCCGGTACGTTGCTTTGGTTAACCCTTGCCTTACGATTTAAATTCCAATAGCGCGGGCCATAAACAACAAAAATGACGGTCATACATCGAGCCATTTCACGTCTTGGCTGAACATTCAAAGTCTCACACTTCTCTCACACGTTTTGTTCACCTTTGGCCCGATTGACATACCACGTCTCTCGCACGTTTTGTTCATATTTAGTCCGATTGACGTACCACGTCTCTCACACGTTTTATTCACGTTTTACTCGATTGATATACCACGTCTCTCACACGTTTTATTCACGTTTGGT